TTGCTCAGCGAAATAGCTTTCAAAAGATAGTTTTCTTTCGGGTAAAATGGTAGTTTTCAAATCGGCGAGTTGATTACGTTACGGGAGATGCTCCCAAAATCCACTGATCTGTTAATCGACTAACCTCTGTTGTATTTAGTGGCCGTCAAATACCGTCCAAAAAACTCCATACCTCTTTCTGTACTTTGACGCTGTACGCGTTGGACAATTTCTGTCGTCCAGAACTCCAATCTTCGATGTACTACTTTTAGCGTGTAGCGTTGAGATAATTCTTTGATTTTTCCATCACTTACGGAACTTGTCCTTTTGGAAAAGTTGAATATTCAGTTTGCTTCCGCCAAATACGGTAACCATATAGGAGGAAGCAAGGTAGACAACAAAAGGTCGTATTATGTATGTTGGAAAGATACCCATTAACGAGGGAGGGTTGATGTCTAGTGAGACCAAGAGCTAGTAAAGCTTTCCTGCATTGTACTTAAGTACAAAAGTAATGCAACGGTGGCTCACAGCTTCGTTCTTTTGGTTCGAAGTATGCCAGTATTCTGCCCATTTCCTTCCGATAATAATCCGTCTAAACACAGAAGGTTGAAGTATAGTCCGTTTGCGTGTAATAACTATAGATTTTTAACCATTTACTTCAGCTGAGTGAAATTAAGTTGATAGTTTTAGTAACTCCTTTACCACCAAGTTAGTTTATTTCAATCGAACTAATTAGGATATCTTTGCTAATATTTAAATGAGACATTCTACTTAGTATCTAACTGCCTCTAGTGAAATTATCCTCTTTGATAAACACCATATCTCCTAACTTAGATACCTGACTAGTCGCAGCCTTGGGTGAATTCTTGAAACTCCCCGCTGCCCTTTTAGTTTTCATGGCTGCTATTTACTTCTGGCAAATAAGAATCTATTCACTTTCCGAAACGTGTCCAAAGTAAAAAGATGGCATATAAATTCAAAGAAAAATATGAATAAACAGTTTCATCAGAAAAGAGAATTAATGAAGGTATAAAATTGGTTGGAAAACTAAGGGACTTACGTGACGGTAAGGAACTAGCTTAAGGGTCGAAACAGGAGGAGAAGAGTAATAATAACAATGATAATGGTGATGCTTCATTTCCTCCATTATGACATATTTATAAACATCCAAATTTGTGTAAGATCTCCAAATAGGCTGATAATTGCCCGAAATTTGGCCCTGAGTTCCGAGCTGTGTGATAGTATTTCATAATTTCTTTGGCCTTCAAATCTGTGCTTGATATTACCTAACTGAGTTCCAAACTTGGTACGCTTAAAACTGACCTGATAATAAATTAACAAATGAGTTAACTATCCAAAATGCAAGAAGCTTCATTTTACCGTTTAGTTAGATAAAATATACTAATTGGCGAAGGCTGCAACACCAAATCAGTTTAAAAAATCAGAATGAAAAAGACTGATTTTACGCAAACAATCTTTGAAAGTCTGTACGCAGAGCCGTCGGTGAAGACGAATTCGCTGCAGTTATCTTTTTGCGGGATTTTATATTCAAGGCAGTTGAAATAGTCAGTTATGACTAATAACCACAACAATTCAATATTTTACGGAGAAAAAAGCACAAAAAATGAGGACTGGGAGGGTGGAAAATAACTTTACTATGTAACTAAATACCCCTCAATTCAAGTAAACACATATTAAAAACAACACTTTAAATTTTCCTGCAGATGAGTCAATTTATGTAATCAGTCCAAGCCCTGAAATGCCAATTGATCCCAGTTACTTTCTGATGGTCTTTCCGCTGGTTTTTCCACATTATAATTCAATTCTTCAAGAAAAAATTTTGTACAGTTCGAAAAACACGCCTCGCAGTAATCAAAAGTTCATTTATATCCTCGTTACTGATTCAACGGCAAAAAAACTTTTTTGCTAGAGCATTACAAGTGAACTCGAAGAAAGCTTTATGCTGATGAATATTTATGTGCATAGGCCATTCCATGCCAAATAGCACGCTTTTCTCACTTGGTACGTTAAAATTTTTTGAAGGGGGAGTTGGAAAAAGTGAACACTTGCCGAGTTACACCCCATCAAACTTGTAAGTTTTACCAGATCGCTGCTTGAAAAGTCTGTCTTTGGAAAGTAACAATTCAATTCAACCTTAACAAAGCATAACAACTATCAATTTTTATAAACTGATATGTTTTTATACTCGAAAGCATTGTAAGCTACTTGACTCCGCTAAACAATTGTACAGATGCAGCAAAAACAATTATTTCAAAAAAGCAAAAAACGTTGTACCTTTAAATTTTAAAGGACAGATTTTGTGCAGAATTTTCAGCTTTGTAAGATACTAAAAATTAATAACGGTGTTTTCCTGAAGTCAAAAGTTATGAGCTGAAAGGAATATGAGACTAAAAAAAACCCGCTAGTTTTACACTGATCCTGCGCATTTTACACTGCCGAAACTGTTCTCAGCTAATTCTGAAAGCCACTATGAGCAGTTATGAAAACCTGGTATGCTTTGGTCGTCAAAAATTTGCTCAAAAACTTATATTTTACTTTTTTTATTAACAAAATTGCCATTTAACAAGGTAAAAGTAACCTTTACTCCAAAGTTTTTTGCTTTCCACGTCATGGTCAAATGCAACTGCCAATTAGGCTCATATAAATTACAAAAAATAAAAGCACCAAAAATGCTTAATGGATCAAAAGCTTTATGAAACAGTAGGTTCTGTGTGCAAAACACGTTTGAGACTCGAGACTTTTCATTTCGACATTTCAGAAGTCAGCAAACAGAAAATTTATAAGCCCTTAAAAATGTAACCGTAGCCTACCTCTTATGGTTGTACAGGTGAAAATGCGCCCGGCTCAGTGTTTTTGCTTGAAATCATTTGCTGTAATTATCTAAGTTAGGCAGACCATAGAAGATTTAGAAAAAACCTGCGCTTTGGACTAACTAGATAAAAAAGTAAGTATTTAGACTTCCTCATGACGCCAAAATATGTACTAGATGCACAATCTTGGCAGAGAGAAGACGAAAAAGAAAAAGTATAAATTACCTCATTAAAACTCTACAGAATAACAATTCGCTAATTTTATAAAGTAAATTACAATCTTTCAAACAACTCTTCAGCAACTAGAACTTGCCAAATTTTTGTAGTTGCTCTCCGTGGGTTTCAGTGGCAGCTGAAGACAGTTTTGCTGTGTAAAACGTACAAAATTACTGTACAAAAAATACGCTTTTTTTTTCAGTTTCGTAGTCTTTTTCGGCTCTTAACTCTCGACGTCAAAAAGAAAAGACGCCATTAGTAATTACTCATATGTCAGAAAGCAGAAAATTTATGCAAAATGTTTTTTTTTTTTGAAAAGTTTAAAGGCGCTTCTCTTTTTCCACATTTATTTAAAACTTCATTTTTATTACGTTTATAGAATATTTGGCAAAATTGAAAAACAGTTTCTCAAGATTGAAATCAATAATGAACAATACTGTTTTCAAAAGCAAAAAAAAGATGTCAGTTCTAATAAACTAAAAGGTATTAGATTATGTTAAGGTTGCGCTGAATTGAAAGACTCCTAATACAAGTATGCCAAGCAGTAACTTGATTAATTTTTCAAATCTCAGGAATATAGCTTGACAGACAATTCACTTTTCCACCTTCTCTCTTCGGCTTTCCGTGTAGTAGCCTAAATTCTACCAAACAGCGAAATTTGAGGGAACCCTTAGATACCGCGTGTAAAAAATGTGGATTTTGGCATTTAATGGCTCATATACATTTATACATACGATCTTCTGCAGCTTATAGCAAAGCTCAGCATTTTCTATATAATTCACTCTCAGTTGCCTGGAAGACTAAAATAATTGACAGGGAGATGGAAGTGTGAACAAAATTTTGCTAAGAAACATTATTCCAGCAGCAAACAGAAAGCAAGTTACTTTTTTGAAAATACGCTCCTAAAACCTTCAAGAAGCATCTTCTCTCCAGCCAATAATAAGAAACTCGTAACTTATATAACTTCAACATATTTTTCTGAGTATTCACCGAAAGTAACTCTTATCAACAATGATAACGAAACCGCGCCGAATTCATGATCTTAAGAAAGCTAAGGAACAGCTGCAACCTATAGCATCCGAACGCCTTAGAATCTGCAAACTTTTTTGCTCTCATCAATGTATTAGAGACCTACAATGAACAGGTGATAAGTGCAAGAATCAAAAGTATAATATAAAAGACCTCATAAGATTTCACCAGAGATTTCTTCTTTTAGAGATGGTGTTACAAGGCGAAACCAAGTGAAAAATTTGACATAAATTGCAGGTTTTTTAACCTGCCAGCAAAGTTTAACGACATATTAACAATTATGACTTTCTGTGATTAGTTATTCTTTTTTAAAAACAAGATTTTTAGGTGTGACAACAGCTGAAAAAGGAGCATAATTTAACTAAAAAAATATTTATATCACAACGTAGAGATTTCAGCGTTCTGTAATAAAACAATACATGCATCAACTATAACAAAATACCAAATCTCATTGCCTATTACAGTAGTAATAAAAGTTCCGATTACTGTAAGTAAGTAATGGTTGAAACCTGGCAAAAAATAGACTATCATGAACAAAATAATAACCAAGTCTCCTAGTACAAATTGTGTGCGAAAAGACGAGAAGGAATAAAATAAAATGAGGCAGGAATAAGACATGAGATCATACACGTTGAATTTGCCTCTAAGTTCTACACAAAAAAAAAAAATAATAATAATAATAATTAAAATTAAAAAAGAAAAAATCCCAGTATGACATCAATTTTAAAATTTATACTCATGAAAGACCATCATCAATAAAACTACCAATTCAAAATTCAACATTAACTGCACTTTATATATAATATTGCGAAATTGACAGTTTAGAACCTCAACTCATAGCAAATTTCAAAAATGACACATCAAGACTAGCCTGTATAAAATCCGAACTTAGTAATAAACTTAAACAACGTTCGCAAAATATAATTTATAAGCAAACATACAATGTTAAAAATCAACATGCTTCCTAAAATACAACTGCAGAGGGAGGTCTTTTGGTTTATTACGCCACCTTGTTTTTTCTATAAACTTCATGGAAAAATCTCTTCCCATCAGTTCATTATTACAAAATATATCAACTTCAGAATACCGACTCATGTCTCCTAAGACAGCCAATGCGAGATATC